ACCTTTCCAGCCATCTCCATTTGAGGCTGTGTTTCCAGCTCAGTTTTAAGGCTGCAGGTAGAGCCAAATGTCACATAACTGGGACCAGACCACCACATGCTTCTGCTCTGCCACCCCATGCTCAGCTTTGCCACAGCCTCATGACATGGGTGCCATGCTCTACACAAGTCCATATTTTAACTTACAGAGTGCAAAATAGTGAAGAAAAAACTGAACACTCCACACACTCCTTGGAGCTTGGTCAAACTGGAACACAGAGAAAGTGCTTTTAACTGCATTTTTCAGAAGGGATTAAAAGAAAAGTGCCCTGATTTAGCCCCTTAATTCCAGGCATCTTTTTGATGTGCTTCAGTTAGAAGCCTAAAGTGAAGAGCAGCCCTTCTCCCACACATCCTGCACTGCTACACACACACATGCACAGACACACACACACAGGTGCCTGAGTGTCAAGTGCACAGCAGAGACTTGTGCCAGCTCCTGCAGTGAAAACTGATCACCTGGTACTGCCATCTTCCAATCATGCCGTTTTCAGCATGGATACCCTGATGAATCCGCTGTCTCAGCCTCCAGCTCTTCCTCTTTCTCTGCCAACCTGGCAGTGTGCCTTCCCCTATGCTGGCTCCATTCAAACAGGGCACTTGCACGACCTTCTGGGTTTTCTGTTCCCTTAATCAATTTGAACAGACTGGGGCATGTTTTCAGCAACATCAGACCTGTTGTACTGGGCCATTAGCTGAACAGTTTGGGATGCTCATTGGTGGGATGGAAAAGCTTATTTATATATTTTATCTTAAAACACCATTATCATAAGATCCCACAGCTGACTATATATGGACTACAAGCATCCTGACAGATATCCCAAGAGCTACTCACAATCAAATATTCAGATCCAGGATTAAGTCTGTTCTATGGCATCCTTACAGAGGATGTAAACAAACAAGCCCTGCCAGTTAGTAAATTATTCCTGTGAACACCCAGAACACTCTTATTTGACTAATTGACTAACTTATTTGATCAACCTTTCCATAAATTCTCTGGGAGTGAATTCCCTGTATTACCAAGGGAGGAAACAAGAAACAGCCCTCTTTTTGACTCTGTTCCTGGTGAATTACATCCATGACCTGAGACGGCCCTTGCTGAATCCTGGTGAGACACAGCAGTCTATGATTTTGATCCCTGTGGAGGATAGATGAGGTTTCCAAAGAATTCCCTCTGAAGATTGAGTAAGGACATCCCTCAGTGAAGACATGAAGAGGATAAAAACCACAGAGGAATGGAGATTGACTGATAGTGTGGGAATAGGAATAGGAATAGGAATAGGAATAGGAATAGGAATAGGAATAGGAATAGGAATAGGAATAGGAATAGGAATAGGAATGCAAAACCAGCAAGAGGAGTGCATGGTGCTCCTAGATGGCAAAACTGACCATACAGGCCATAGAGGGTCAGCCAACTGGGAATAAAAACCTCTGGCCCCACTTACTCGTGGATGTGATCAGCTCTTCCCCACAATGAACTCCTTGTGTTGTTCACAGTCATCCCGTTGAGAAGCCACTGAAGCTGGAGAATCATTCCTTTAAAGCAAAAAGAATGGACTGACCTTGTCCTTCAATCTTGGCTTTGTCAGGGGATCTCACAAAATCCACAGATAAATATGAACATAAAACCGTCGTATAAATGGCTGCACTTTTTCTTAAATAGATGGCAAGATAGGACATCAAGTCTCTCCCACTGCACCTTGATTATACACAAGAGACTGAGTCTAGTAAGACAGCTAGCAAGCACAAACGTATCCATGAGCTTTTACTACATCTTTCAAAAGTACTACTGGCAGCTAGAAATCAATCAGTATTTTTACTTGCTGTGTGATCATGACAGGAACAGCGAATCATCAGTAAGTAAATAAACAAATAAGAATATCAAGTCTACAATAACTTTTAAATTCTACATTGAAAAAGACTCCAGATCTCTACATCACTTTAAGCTACATTATCTTCATCATGAAAAAATGGGTTGGATCAAATTTTAAGACATACCACCTCACGCAATAATGGAAAACAGATTTCATAGCGTATTTTCTTCCGGATTACTTCAATTACTTTCAGAATCTCAGAAGCTATTCCAAACTCAAAATTTTGCTTTATGTTTTGTTTTGTTTTGTTTATCATTTCAATTATCCCTGGCCAAATTAATCCCTGACCTCAGTCCACTGGCTACAGTTGCCTAAGACAAAGGACTGACTTGCACCTGCAAGACCAACAAATGGAAGGTTCTAACACAGTAACATCCAGTCCTGAGGGCAAAAAACCCATTTAAGTCAGATCCAAGTTCAAGATAAACCATCAAATTCAAATTAAAATCTCCCAGGCCAGATTCCAAGAACAAAAGCATTAATTTTAAAAGTTGGAACCAGTCAGGATCTCCTCCCAGAAAGTACTGAGTGACCCTTAACGCCAATCAAAGTTACCAAGAGTTAAAGAGCTCTGAAGCCTCCAGGACTGGGGCCTCCAACGGGCTACAGCTCCCAGAGATCAGGTAAAAGTGGACTCAGGGATCACCTCTTTAGTGGATTCCAGTAAACACTTGTTGGAATTTACTCTGCAGTTTCCAGAACCAAGTTCCTAGATCCAGAAATACCTGCTGTCCCAGCAAAGGGAACAAGGGACACATATGTTTTGGCTGCTAACTGCTGACACTCACACTTAGTACAGAGGAATGCCCACGTCTTCCTTTTATGGCCTCTTTGCCAGTTCATAAATTTTTAAAGGGAATAAACACTTTTTCATGTAATAACATGCTCCTGGCACTGCTTTTGCTCACAAGGTTAAGTGCATAAACAGCAGTCACTTCAGATATAACACTGAATATAAACTTCTCATCTTCTTCTGGTCCAACACAATCATATCCTTCTGCATTTTAATTGCCCAACATCCATGTCTATGGATTATCTTAGGAAAAGCAAGTTTTATGTTACCCAGTTGGAAGCAAAAAGCCAGAAAGGGGTTATTAAAGACACTGGACTTGCTTCATCAAATGACAAAGAACTACTGGCTTTTGGAAATAATAACAGAGAATGAGTGACAGCTCTGTGGGCTCGGCAGAACAGAGCTCCAAGTTAACCAGTGGATAAATTGCCATGTTGGAAAAATAAAACCATTCTGGAAGCTGGCATCTGAAAGGCAGATACAGCAGGGGCTCCAAAGGGGGTGAATTTGCAAGCAACACCAAGGCACAAAAAGTGCAACTTGACAACCCCAGGCCTTCGTTCAGCTGAGTTATCAACTGTGAGTCTTGCTGCCTTTCTGATTTCATGCTAGATTTTACATTTTAGGGAGGAACTTGAAGAAAAATTATCTGAGGGTGCTCTAGCGACTCAGAAGTCAGAAAACACATAAACTGTGTTAATCTCATGTCTTTCACCCCCCAAGACTTGATACTCTAGAGCAGCCAGTACTGGCCGTGCTTCAGCATGATGAGAGATGCAGATCCTGCAGATCCTGATCAGAATGAGAATGAAGGATTCTCACAGTCTCCTGCAGGAATGTAGGAAGGATCAAACATTCCCTGCTCTGTCCGCAGGGAAAAGCAGAGCGAAGAATTCTCCGTTCGCCTCCTGATCGACTTCATTCCAGTATTAGTCATGGAAGAGGGATGTTACAGGGCAAGATTTGAGCGGACGCTGACACATCACTTTGGAAAGAGTTCCAGATTTGGCTCCATCACGCGAAGCTGCCCGATGCCAGCACCGGAGAACCTCTCCACCCGACAGCGGCGGGCTCTTGCTGCCCTCTCCCGGGATCCGCCTGGCGGAAGCACCGTCCGAGTCACAGCGGCGAAAATAGCACGGAGGCTTTGGAGTGTCCCTGTCGCCAGGACCTGGATTTATGGCGTGCGGCAGCGCCTGCACAACCACAGCCAGGGATTCAGCCCATGCCTGGCGTTCCGTAACAGGGCGCAGGGCTCACCCGTGACGGGAGATGTCGAAATTCCAGCCGGCTTTCGGGATGCCGAAAATACCAACCAGCTCTCGGGCGCGCTCGTCTCTGCTCCGTCGGTACGCGGGGGCTCATCTTATCCAGGAATTGCCACCCTCGCTGTCGAAGGCCTACGGAAGTAAACAAGAGAAGAGGATCACACCATACCTAATCCAAACCCACGTTCTGGGCTGGTGATCCCGAGGATGGATCTCCTTTCTGTATGAAGAGGCAGTGGTCTAAGCTCAGAGCCCCACACTGGCTGGGATTCGAAGCTTCTGATGCAGCTGCTGCCCCATTGGGTGGAGGGGAGCCGGGGTCATGGCCTCTCAAAAACCTCTCTACCACAAAAACCCCCACATCAAGTCTTTGGCCTTTCAACATTGTCGAAAGCCGTCCAGCTTTGTAAACCCTGTGCCAGCTCTGACAACAGTGGTGCCTTGAAGAGATGACCAAAGTGCTTGTCACAGCATGGAGCTGCGTCAGGGGAGGGTTAGGCTGGATTATCAGGAAAAGGTTCTTCCCCAAGAGGGTGCTGGGACACTGAGCAGGCTCTCCAGGGAATGGCCATAACCTCAAGGCTGCCAGAGCTCCAGAAGCATTTGGACAATGCTCTCAAGCACAGGATGGGATTCTGCGAATGTCCTGTGTAGGGCTAAGAGTTGGTCTCGCTGATCCCTGTGGATCCTCTCAACTCAGCATATTCTATGATTTTTTTTCCTAATATCTGAATTTCCTGCCTCAGCTTAAGGCCATTTTCTCTTGCCCTCTCACTGCAGGCACTGTAGAAGAGATCGGTCCTCCCTTCACTACAAACTGCTCCCAGGTAGCCGTAGTTGCCTCAAGCCCGTCCCAAGCTGCCCTAAACCCCCGCCCGCTCCCGGCTCCGTCCTGCGGCTGTAGCTCCTCCTGCCGCCAGGGGCGCTGCGGTGGGGAGGGCGCCGCTCTCTCCGCCCGCTGGGGCCGCGGAGGAGGCGGCGGGGTCGGCCCGGGCGGCGGTGGGAGGGACCGGGGGAGGGACCGAGGGACCGGGGCACCGGGGGAGGGACGGAGGGAGGGGCGGTGGCGGCGGCGGTGGCGGTGCCGGGCCGGGCCGGGCCGGGCCGGACCGGACCGGACCGGACCGGACCGGGAGGTGGAACGTGCGGCCCCGCTGAACCCGCCGCGGGGCCTGCGGGAGCAGCATGGCCGCCAGCCTGTGGATGGGGGACGTGAGTGTCCGGCCGGGACCGCGCGGCTTTGTGAGGGGGGCGGGGGCGGCGGGGCTATGGGGGGAAGCAGCCGGGCCGGGGGGGGGAGCGGGAAGCACTGACCAGCTGATAGCGTCACTGACCGGCACCCGCACAGTAACTGACTTACACCCTCCCACCGACCGACTGACACCCTCACACTGACACTCACACCAATTGATGCCCTCACTCCGGGACCCTCACACTGACTGTCTGACACCCTTACAGCAACTGACAGCCTCAGTCTGACTGACTGACTGACTGACTGACACTCTCACTCTGACACCCACACACAACCGGCAGACTGACATCCTCACAGTTCTAACACCCTCACTCTAACTCACACCTGACAGCAGCTGACCCTCTCTCTGACTGACTGACTCCCTCACACCATGGACACCCCCACACTGACACAGCCACACAGCCCCTCACACATTCAGACACACCTAAACTCCCCAAGTGACACTCACCTCGTACACTCGTGTGCATGTTCACGTGCTTACACAGGCTGACACACACACACTCAGACATAAACCCCAGCCTGACATCTGTGAGCAGTTACACTCACACACACACACACACACACACACACATACGTACATGCCAGAGTGACCCTCATTTTCTGCCTGCAGCCAGGTCACAGCCACACTTAAATCAGTGTCCCTGGGGGGTGGACACATGCATGGGCACCAACAAGTCTCACACTTTCATACTCTTAAGAGGCACTTACATGCTCCGATACACACAGTGTGTACAGTTGCTTGCTTTGAGGATTTATCTACTGTTTTACCTGCTCAGCTGCTATAGGAACTTACATGCTCATATTGTGCAGGGCATTTACATACACTCATGGTTGTGCTGCTAATTGTGCTCACACTTGTAGGCACTCACATTTGTATGCACGTCTCCAAGATTATCCCTTACAACCTGCCCACTACATTTACATGTTCATAGGGATTTTGACTCTCCTACATGCACACACATTCACAAGCACTTACACACCCTGCTAGGTCCCTCATTCTTGCCTGTGTGTGTACCTGGCAGGAAGAGCACCTTTGTGAAGCACAGGTGCTTTTTCACCCAAGGGTATCTTGCTGCCCGCTCACATGCACACTGTGGGCACACTCACAGTGATGCACAGCCCACAGTGTCCCTTGTGTGCCCTTCACACACCCTCACTCTTGTGCCCCTGTGTCCTTCAGCACTCGCTGCTGAGCACACACTTTCGCACACGTGTACTCACCCCAGCATGTTGTAATGCTCTGCCACCTAGCCAGACTGCATGTGTGTGTGTACTCAGTGTGTTATGGGCCTGCATTGCTGCCACTGTGGTACACTGTGACACACAAATGCAGTTCCACTGCTGTCTGTAGTGTCTTTGCTGTCTTTCACACATTTGTACACACCTGTGTGCACTCCATTATGCATGTACAGTCACACTAGCATATCACAACTTCCCTGCCACCTGTTTCTTGGACACACAATTTTCCTTCAGCCCCTTTCTTGCAGCTCACACCAGCACAGTCCTGCTTGCATGTGGTGTTCCTCATCTCTCACGTGTGTGTGTACACACAGCCCAACACATCCCTGAGAATCCCACTGGGTACTTCTCTCCCACACACACACTCAGCACACTCAGTTTGCCACAGTATCAGGGAGTCCTCTACCGCTTCTGCTCGTGCACAGACTCCGTGGAGCCTGTTCTCCCTTTTCCCCACGCAGAGGGTTATCTGCCACCTCTCTACCATAAAGCCCATCTTCTTTTTCATCACTATTTTTCACAAGCAGGCCATGGCCTTTTGAGCCACACGGACATTTCCACGCAACTGGTTGTCTATACAAATCCAGCTTTCCTGTACACACACACACCCACAGGATCATGGCACGTCTGTGCAGAGTGGAGCTGCCTCTGCTCCTGGGGCAAGTCTGTTCTGCTTCACACTCACCTCCACAGGGCATCTGCTGCCTTTACACCTGCAAATGCAGTACGGTCACCTTCTTTCACATACTGCACATTCTGTCACACACACAAGTGGTGGAGCCACGCGGTACCTGACAGACACACAAATACTTGAGGGCTGTAGGTTATCATGAGCCACCTGTCTTAACCAGGTAAATACATGGAGCAATATATATTTTGTACATATATTTTTCAGCTCCTGTCACACATGCTACTCCCCATTTTGATATTGGTTAGTTCCCTCCTCCAGTTTCTGTTGTACACAGAGGTGCCCTGTTCACTCAGGCTCTTCTTAGTATATTTGATCCAAATTCCAGCACCATTTCCTACTTGTCAGTCCCTTACACCACGCAGATACATTCTTTCCAGCATGTTCACATACACTCTTACCTGCACAGTGCCATCCTCCCCTGTGACATGAACATGATCAGTGCTCCCATGGGCAGGACAAAGCATAGAGCTGTTGTGGGATGTGATTCCAGGGCTTCCCCCCAGTGCTGGCCTATTATCTCCGGGGTTGTGCAAGCAGACACCGCTCTGCAGACCCCTACTGCAGCTCCACGGGGCAGTGTCACCTGCCACATGCCACCCGGGGTCGTGCCACACTTGTGTACCCACAGCGCTGGCCCAGCCTTCACTTGCATCTGGAGAAGGAGCCTGCCGTCTTCTCCCCTGCTCCCTGTAGCAAATGCTCAGTTTATTGCTGTGTATTTCTGAGTGGCTTTTGTCCTTCTGTGAAGCTCCCTGTTCTCTGAAATTCATGCTGTCTCTTGGGTTCCACTTTGCAGACTGTTGAGCCTGGTTCATGCATGCCTGCTGGTTTTGAGTGGCATCGACCCTCTTAAATGAGTCTTCTTTTTGAAGTGTAAGGGTAAAATCCTTCTCAATAATGTTTTAACTGCTTAGAGGGACATTGACACATATGTTCTCCTTTTTGTAGATGCCCTGATATAACTTGGGTTTTTTTTTTTTTGCTTTTGTAGCTGGAGCCCTATATGGATGAAAACTTTGTTTCAAGAGCCTTTGCCACCATGGGAGAGCTTGTACTGAGTGTAAAAATCATTCGAAACAGGTTGACAGGGTAACTGTTTCTGTTTCTTCTCTGAGTGCATTTGGACTGAAGTGTCACTGTGGTCCTTCCTTATCAGAGTGAATTTTTCCTTTGAGTTTCTCACCATTGCTGCCACCAATATGGGAGTATTGATGAGAGCAATGGAGAGGGCACTGCTGGCTCTTCAGGCTCCCCTCAGCAAACAAGGTTTAGCCCTCATCCTGCAGTGCTCCAGCACTCAGTCAGAGCAGTGTATGTATCTCGTTCCATCCCTCTGGGAATTACACCTCCCCAGGCTTTGGTGACTAGTCTGTAGTGCAGCTGTGTGATGCTGACAGAGGTGGGAAGTCTGACTCAGAGCAATAAGAGAATCTTTAGAGTTCATTTGAAATTAAGTGAGTGATTTATGCAGAATAAAGTAGTTTCTTTCTTAAAGTAGTTTCTTCTTCTTAAGTGTTGTAATTTCAGTTTTCAGTAGTTTAAACTTCAGCAGGCAAATTGATGGTCAATGAAAATAGGAAGTAAACTGTAAGCTAAACTGTTTTCTATGTGTTTCAATGTGACCTGACCTATGGTAAGTAGGGGCTATCCCTCGAGATCCAGCTTCTCTTTGGTAGCTAATGTTTATACTTGAAAAAGAAACTGTTCTATGTATTGCAACTATAGCAGATTTCCTACCAGTTATCTAAAATACAACTTTCTTTCTCAAATGCGTTTTGAATTTATAACCTTTGTCTCTTGTCTTCTGTATTGTATGTTCAGAATTCCAGCAGGATATTGCTTTGTAGAATTTGCAGATCTAGCTACTGCAGAGAAGTGTTTACACAAAATCAATGGAAAGCCACTTCCTGGTGCTACACCAGTAAGTAAATGGTATCAGCCTGCTGAAAAACAAAACTTGGAAGGGACAGATAGTGTAGAATTTGTATTTTTAATTATTACAGACAAATTCAATAGTTAGCAAACTGGGATTCTCCTTTGCTTTAGAACTGAAGTTATGACTATAAAATTGTTAATGTTCTTGCTCAGAAAATTGTTGAGAAAAACCACTGATTTCTTTGTGACTGTCTACATGAAATCCATGTGTAGAAGTGTTGTGGGGTGTAGGGTTTTTTTATATCTGAGCATTTCTGCTGGTACCAAAGTTGGACTAATCAGAAACCTGAGAAGAACAAGGAAGACATTAGAACTGAGTATAGTGTATGTCTGTCACAATTCTTCCATCTCTCTCCTTTTGTATAATCATGGAGTCACAGAGTGGTTTGGGTTGGAAGAGACCTTAAAGGTTATTATATTTCATCCCCCTACCGTGGGCAGGGACACCTTCCACTAGGCCAGGTTGCTTTAAGACCCCCCCCCATCCAACCAGGCTTTGAACACTTTCAGGGATGAGGCAACCTGAGAATTTACCTGTGTGTTGTTACAAGACGAAGTTGCAAGTTCACACTGTGTTTTGAGTAACATTGATTTGCAAGAGAAATATGACTTTTAATTTTACATTGTCTTGGCCCTTAGCGAACAGAAGTTACTCAAAGCTCTTTACAGTGGAGAAGGAGCCAGAGTACTGAATAATTGCCATGCATAACTAATGTCTCCTCTACATAAAAGCTGGGTAGTTAGGAAGAAGAGGAGGAATAGTCAGAGAGGCTAATTTTAGGATGTTGACTCGAATATGTGGTAGATTAAAATGGGACGGCTGACACAGCTGTCTGTTGTACCCACAGGAGTTGGCTGCAGTAGCTGGGGTGACTGATTCATAAAGCAGCTCTAGAATCACCTCAGTTATGGTGTGATATACAAAGTAAATGAATTCCTATTTTAGAGCAGTTAATACCTAGAGTAGGAAACCAGGAAGTTCAGATTGAACTATTCAGTCAACGTTCCTGAGAGGGTGACTTGCCCTGTTAAAAGGAGTCGATGAGAGGCCTGGAGATATCTGTTTCACATGTTTGCTCATGGTTAAGGCAAGCTGATCATCCTGGATGCCTTCTGTAGTCCCTGGAGAGACAAAGAGAGCAGCTCTTGCAAGGAGTAAGATAATAATGGAAATTTGGTTTGGGGAATACCCATCTTTCTTCAGTTTTGTTCAAAACACAGTGCTATGTGGAGCGATGATTTAACACACAGAGAGAATTACATCTGTCAGGCAGAGATCCAAAGTAGCCCAAATCAGTGCACTCAGCAGGCAACTGCCCAGCTCATCCTTTGCGTTTAGAGACTTTTGTTTACAGAAAACTTGAGTGTGGCTCATGCTTTTATTTATTTTTAAATATGGAATCAGCCAAAGGAATAACAGAGAGCCATGGTGCTGGTGCTGTCTCTCTTTTCCAAGCATTGGTGTTCCCAGTTCCCATCTGAGTGGAAGTATTCTCAGGTGTCTTGTTGATTTTAAACCCAGAATATTGCAGTGAAGAGCGAGATCCAAAAAAAAGTTATCTAAGCTTCAAAGTGGAATCTAAATTTTGTGTTAGCTTGTAAATGATCCACAGAAAGTTGTGTAGTACTGTGTTGCAGAGAATGCAAGCATGCAAGCAACAGGATTATAGCCTAGAGTTAAGTCTGTGCTCTATTTCCCAAGAATTATTTACCTATCTTTGAGGGAAGGAAATCCATCATACCAGGTCCAGGAATACACTAGGCTCTTCATTGTACTGAACAAGTGAATACCCTGATCTCTAGGGCATTTCTGATTGTGATCTGAAATCCTGATTTCTGACGCTGAGATTAGCCCCTGATCTCTAAGAGCTGATCCAAAGATCTTGGTCTCCTTAGATCTTGGTCTAAACTTACATGTAAGTTGGGTACAAGTTGCTGAAGTCTGGTAGACTAGGGACAGAGAGTTCCAGATGTGCCAGAGGGCACAAATCTGGGCTGCTGGGAAACTTGTTTCAAAAATAAATTCTGATGCAAAATTTAAGGAGGCCTTCACTGTCCAATGTAGTTCTTTCAAAACCCTTAAATTTTGTATCTTACTAAATGTCCAGAGCAAAGTATTTAGCCACACTTCCAGAATCAGGTTGATTCTGTTTTCCAGAGTGGTGGATTCTGGTCTGTTAATGTTTGTGTTAAATCACAAAGTCCAGTAGTGGTGCTGTCATTTCATTTTAAGACCTTAAAATTGGAAGAAATTTGGTATTTGTTTTTACTACCTCTGTTCAGGTTTTGATTTTCAATATTATATCTGTATTGACACTAAATAAAAATGTGTTTGTACCATAAATGGCTAGCCTGAAGGCAGTGAACATGTGTCAGCATTAAGAAAGTTATATTAAATCAGCTTATTGTATTTTTCCCTAATTGCTTGAATTCACATGACAACCTTTGAATGTATGGATTCATTTTTGCCTTGTTTTAGGCGAAGCGATTTAAATTGAATTATGCAACATATGGAAAACAGCCTGATAACAGGTAAGTGTTCAATATTTAAATATTAATTTTCCCTGCTTAATGTTTCTTTATTAATTGTCTTGCAAAAAGTATTCAAAATATGTAAACACAAAGGACATCACTGTCAGTCTTTAGTAGAGGGAGGAGAAATTAAACTGCCAGTTTTGTGCTTTGCCCTGTATGGGGCACAGCAGATTTATCCAATGCCCTTTAAGGTATTTAAACTTTGTAGCAACAAGGTATCTAATTCATATATTGTAATTTAATATCTATGTATTACGATTTAAGACCTATGTATTCAAAATAGCTTATCTATAAATGAGATATTACTTTCTTGCTGTTTTAGAAATCAGAGATATCATTTGAGTAATAAGCACTGAAATAATCTTTTTCAATAAAAACCAGTATTAAGTTGGTTTGTTGTGCTGCTTGAATTAAGTTGAAAAAGCAGTGTCAATAAAAATTTTGATTAAGCAGCCTAACTGGTGATACTTTAAAGTCTCTATCAAATGGTCTTTTAATATCACTCGTCTCTGAGTTCAAATATTTAGGATAAATGGTAACTGTCACTCAGCATATCCCTTCCTTTTTTTTTTTTTTGTATGATTGTATTTAAGAAATTTTCTTTTTATTTTTTAGCCCAGAATATTCCCTTTTTGTGGGAGACCTGACTCCTGACGTAGATGATGGGATGTTATATGAATTTTTTGTTAAAGTTTATCCATCGTGTAGAGGTGGAAAAGTTGTTTTGGACCAGGCAGGAGTATCCAAGTAAGTTGTCTTTTATTCACTTTTTTTTTCACTCACATGTTGCAACAGGAAAGATAGAATGCAGCAAGGGGAAAAGAAATCCTTTTGACTTAGATTTTAGTAATCTTGAAATATAGTGTTCTTGGCCATTCAATCTGCAGTTTGCTTAAGTTTTGATAGTCACCAGGGTATTGTCACTCCTCTGTCAGTGTGAGGTCCTTTGTGTGTTACTGCACTTCTTAAAATGCTAAAAAGTGTCTTAAGTAATTTTGAAACATCCTCTTCCTGGACTCTTGGGTGGAATTGTGCTTTACAAACTTTAGGCTATTGTGTGTATATTCCTGTGAGAACTGTATGGGTTTTTTTTTCAAACAGGGTAGGGCACACAAAGCTGTGATTCACTGTCAGGTTCTCAGTAGCTGCCTAGTTTGTCTTTCCTGAAAATGTCTTGCCGAAAACAGGTATCAAAAAGTTGGATTTCTTAATGTATTGAAAACATTTTCTGAATAGCACAAAATTAAATTGTATTTTCCAGAGGAGGGAGCAGTTGGTGAGCATTCTTGTTTTCAAAGCAGAGCATGGCTTCAGTGAAGCTCAATTTTCCGGTATAATATATGTGAGAATGTTGGGATAAGATACAGGCTATGGCTGTAGTTTCCCCCACCTTCTCATATGCAGTTTCTCAGTCTTAGACAGGCTGGTTTAAAGGAATCTCTGAAAGTCTCTGGTCTCCAGCTCCTAACAGGACTGCAGCCAGCACTAGATCATAACATCCATTAGTTGTGTGGCCTGGAAAAAGTCCCAGGATGGAGATAATTCAGTCTGTCTGGACAACCTGTTCCAGAGCTGCACTCCTCCTCAGTCATGAAGTTCCTCTTCATGTGCAACCTGAACCTCTTGCAGAGCTACTCAGTCTCCTTGGCTGTTGAGTCCTCCTGCTGTCATTGCCATCTCACCTGGGACTGACACTGCTGGGCTGGGCTCTGCGTGCCTTCTGATCCTTCTCAGTGTAAACCCCATAGTTCTCATTGTGCTGCACCTTCTTCAGTCTCTGTCTATAGAACAGGTGTTGGTGCTGCAGGTTGGACTATTAGTGTGGTTTTGGGAACTGTGCACAGGTGCAGACCTCAAGGAAAGGGAATCTGTGATAGCTTGGGAAGTGGGGAAGGAGCATGGCCTTCGAGTCCTGTTTCAGGGAAGAGCAAAGCTGTCTCCCCTGGCAGTGCCAGACTGTTGGTGCCAGGGGCTTTGTTGGGACTTGTGCAATTGCTCAAAGCTGAGACAACTGCAGTTGTTAGTGTGATGTGAGAGAGGAGCTTGGAGTTTGTGGACATGTCCAGTGAAGGCCTGGCCCTTCCGGCCAGGGCTGGTGGATCAGGAAGGCCTCCTCCCATCACCTCTTGTCCAGACAGGAGAGGAGCTTGGAGCATGGTGCTGTGCCTGCGTCTCTGCTTTCTGCTGAGAGTGCAGGTGCTGGGGCTTTTCCAAACTTCAGGGGCAGGACAGAAGGTCTGGAGGGAGGTCCTGGCCAGGAAGAAATTATTTCTTTCCACACCAATGGTTTAGCCATTGGTGTGGAAAGACTTGGAAGAATCACTGTCTCCCTTGCGGCACCCAGCATCTATTCCTGTACACTGCATCCATCTCTATCTGTCACTGTTTTGGAGCTGCCAGTCTTCCCAGTTTCTCTTACATAGTCCTGGTCCCATCTGAAAATCTGCAGGAGTCTTTTAGCAGCTTAGAAACTTAGTTGAGCTTGTGTGTGAACACCATAAACTGACTTAGAAGTTGACTTGCACTGGATTAATTTGCCATAGTCCTTTGGCAGAGGGCAAGTTAAATGAATGTGGATCTGTGTAGAATTTTCCTTGTGCTCAATAATCTAGTTTGTATGTAGATAAGCCTAAGCTTTGATCTGATCTTTTTGTGAGGAGGATACGTCCATATCTCTATAAAAATAAGATATTTGAACTTGTGTGTGGAGCTTGCTGTGCAAGGTAGTGCATTTTCTGGGGCATGAACTGCTCTGAAATAGCTGCCAGTGGGGACCTCCCATGAATAGCAGGTGATACCACTTTCAAAATAGCACATTACTTGGTGTTTAGCAGTTCCCACAGAATAAATAATGCACTGTAAATTTACACCCTTGCTTACGGCTCGTTCTTTTCCCCAGGTAGACAAACCCTTCCCTCCCAAACTTCTTCCTTTGCTTAGATGGATTCCTCTTACCCTCCCACACCTAAGTCTTTGATCTTTCTGCTGCGTGAGGCAGCCCATCCCATGATGAGATCCTGGCACTGCCCTCTTGGATGCTGTTGCATTGCTTCTGACTCATTACAGCATCAAAATCCCACGCAAAAGGATTGTTGAGTTGGAGGGAGTTGGAATTTTCTGTCTGGCTGACATGCAGTGTTGCCATACCACAGTGAAGAGTTGTTGCAGGGTGCAGGTGTTCTGGATGTGCTGTCCCTGTTCTAGCTGTGTTCTCAGAGCAGATTTTAGCTACTTGATGTTAGGAACTCATGTTCAGGCCCACTGTTGGGAATGCTGTTGTTGGGAATGGCAGAAAGCCCATTTGAATATATTCTAGTTGAAAAGCGAACTTGATTGAACAGCATATCTCATTGACCTCAGGGAAAAGTAGTGTTTTCCTTCACAGTGGGGCAGTTTTGGATAAAAGCAGAGTCTGTCTTGTCAATCCTGTGCTGACTTGCAACTCTTGAGATTGTCAGTATCCTCACAGCAGAGATTTGGGGCTTTACTACGTTTCAGTTCACATATTTCAACATGGCTTGTGTCAGCTCACTTCCAGTTCCCTGGAATCCACTGGCACAAGAACTACTTTACATTGACAAGCCCTTGAAAGTACTGCCAGAGCTTGGATGTGTGGCTTTAGGCACGCTGGAAAAGCAACTGGAAGGCAGAGTAATTTCATCTCTCCCAAAAGCAGGGACAACAACCCTAATGAACATTTCGTTCACTGTGTTTCCCAAATCAATTCAAACTTCACTGTAACTAATTTTTATAACATGGCATGGCTCTTTGGGGTTAGTTTTATGTGAGATTATTCTGTGTCTCTGCAGAGGTTATGGGTTCGTGAAATTCACAGATGAACTGGAACAGAAGAGAGCACTGACAGAGTGTCAGGGAGCTGTGGGATTGGGCTCTAAACCTGTACGCTTGAGTGTGGCTATACCAAAAGCGTGAGTAGAAGAACAGCCAGACATTTATAAGAAAAAACACATCTGGTTTTAAATGCCTTTTAGTGCTTTGGGTACATGTCCTTGATGTCCCCATGAAAGAATGAAGAAATACCCATGAATATGGGGAGTATCAGAATGCCCAGGAGTTCAAAGAAATCACAATATTAACTCAAGACTAAGCATTTGACACTGTTTGGGATTGTGTACATTATTAAATCCATATACATGCACGCACACTGTAGTTAAATATGATTGTTTTTAAGTGTATGTTCCTTTGCATTAAATTGAAATAGTTTAAATCTGCTTAATGATGTCTGGATAGCAAAGCTCAACTACCTTGCTTATTCTATTATGATGTGTACTACATATAAGACTTTTGGGCAGGGATTAACTTTTTTTTCTGTGTTTGTTCAGAACCTGATACAATGAGATCCTGGTCTGACTTGGGGCTCGTAGCACTAGGGTAATATGAATCATAGTAATTGCTCCCTATTTGAATAATATTTAGATTTGCAGTGACCTCATAAGTCTTGGGGGGGAAGAGAAAAGCAGAAAAAATGGGTGCATCGTGGTGAGAAGATAGATGTTTCCTTCTTCCTACTTCTCACTAATTTCACCATTAGTAGAAATAGCTTTATGTGTGACATATTTTCATCTCCAAACAATAATAATCATCTCATTATTTCAAATCTTGATAGTTAGGTGGAATCCTAGTTCTTTGGGAATGCTGCCATTTTATGGCAAGGAATAGGAATTTTAGTCAGTTCTCAAGGTATTTAAGTTTATTTTTTGATTACTAGTAGTAGTTCTCATTTCATGAACTTTTTCAAGTCTATGCATTGAAGACTACCCAGTTCAGAGAGAAAGGGGATGAGTCCTTGCTTGGGTTTCTGTATGACAATGGCAGAAGGGAGAGTTTTTTCCATTCTTACAAAAGAAAACTTGAGGTTTTTTGCAAGGCTTTAAGTCTTTGACTCTTCATGTAAAGCAAGACTCAGTACCTTCTCTCAGAAAGCTGTAGATCACGTAACTTCATCCTCTTTATCAGAATGAAAAAGGGACTCCAATATCTGGATTGTAGTTCAGGATTGTTCTAAACTGAAGCTCATAGTCCTGAACTCTTCCCTTCCCAAAGCCAGGAAGTGATACCCAATTAGCCCATAAAGAATGAAAGCAATGTTTATTTATGAAGAGGAATATGAATTCAGGGAAGGGTATTAAATTTAAACCACTTATTTATTTATGCAAATGTATGCAAATGATAAATATTGCTACAGTAAATAGTGAATATATTTTAAAGATTGAAATTTGCATGTTAGACAAAGCCTTGTCTCTTTACCACATTGTATCTTAAGCTATTTCACTGCTTTTTTCATACTTGTTCTGCACTATTTTATTGCAACTTACTCCTGCTTTATTTTTTGAAGTAATCGTGTGAAACCAATGGAGTACAATCAGATGTACAACTATAATTACAACCAGTATTACCAACAGTATCACAGCTACTACGCTCAGTGGGGGTACGATCAGAACACGGGCAGTTACAGCTACAGCTACCCCCAGTATGGCTACACGCAGAGCACCATGCAGGTAGGGCAGCACAGAAACACCACATAGCTTGAAAGGTGGGATGGGAACATCTGTCTTCTGCTCTGAGAATCACAGAATGTCTTGAGCTGGAAGGGACCCACAGGAACCATTGAGTCCAGCTCCTGGCCCTGCCCAGGACACCCCAACAATCCCACTCTATGCCTGAGAGCATTGTTCAAATGCTCCCGGAGTTGAGGCAGCCTTGAAGCCATGACCATTCCCTGAGGAGCCTGTTGGGTGCCCAAGCACCCTCTGGAGGAAGAATCTTTTCCTGATATCCAGCCTGACCCTCCCCTGACACAGCTCCAGCCGTTCCCTCAGGTCCTGTCCCTCCCTGGTCATGGAGAGCAAGGGGCAGAGCTGTCCCTCAGGAGGAGCTGCAGACCCTAATGAGCTCTGCCCTCAGTCTGCTCTGCTCCAGACTGAACACAGCAAGAGATATTAGTATAGACTTCTTAATAATGGAGCCTTAATATAGCTACTATTTAGTGTTTAGCCCCTGGTGTGTCCTGTTACTTTATGGAGGTATTGCTGAGGTAAAAAACGGTCTGGAGGACACAAAAAGTCTCTTAATACAGTTGTCATGGTAGAAGAGTTCTTTTGGTACAGGCACTGCTCAGAGTGCCTTTGGGATCCTTCATAAACTTTGTTATAAAGGATAGAACACATCAGAACAGTCACCCCACTTCAACACTGATATTTCAATTTTAGTGTAGGATCTTGTCCATGGAGTGTTGGGAATGGAACACAGGCTTATGTGTGAAGAATTCTGTTGTAGTAACTCCAGTATAAAAGTCAGTCTCTGACAGTACTAATCAACAAGTGGTGCTTGCAAAAGAAAAGGTAATTATCTACTGTCCTAAGGGGTTTATTTTTCCTTACAGATGTATGAAGAAGTTGGTGAGGATGCATTGGAAGGTATGTTTCTCAAATTCTGTATTAAAGTTGTCTGTATGTTCTGCACTGGTTAGAGATAGACTTTCTCAGATTGGCCCTAATTTCAATTTATAATATATCTTTATCTTTGAGTAAATCTGAGAAAATTCGTGGGTCACTATCACCTAGAACAGTTACATCCTGGTTCTACTATTGCTGTTCCTAATCTGAACCTGGTGAGGACTAAAACTGTTTGACTTCCCCAGCCCTGAGATTTTAATCTCACATAGTACTGAGATTTTTATCGGTTTTTTTACTAGTTTGGGTTGTTTTTTTCTGATATGCTACCAAGAAAAAAATAGATATTCTGGTTTTATATGAAATCTTGTCATTTAGAGCCCAGAATACTTCATTGTGCTTTTAGTTTAAAGGTAAAAGAGAACAATAATAGTTACCACACTGATAAAATATTTCAAGCAGTTGTTGCTTGAAATGGGTCATTAAACCAGATCGGGGTTTTAGATACCTGTAAAAGTAGCTTTCATTTATTGATGCAAGAAACTACCATTTTATGCCAGCTGTTCCAGATTTCTGTCTTCAGTGGAATATGCACTATGCAGTGTATCTAACTCTTATCTTAAAAAAATAAATTAAAAATTACATGATAACAGATCTACAGGTTCCACAGGTATGATTGATGATGTGTGTGGAAGCTCTTAATGGCTCTTAAAAGCATTCCAGGAGAGCTTTCCTTTTGCTGAACCAAACATACCAGGACTAGACTTGGGATATCTCTGGATATCTCTTTTTCTGGTTGATTATATGAAAGGTTCCTACATTTGTAGGAAACTGAATTAATGTATTGACACTATATCATTCCTTTTCCTTAAATCTCTTTTCCTGTAATGTGTTACAGCATGATGTAGCTAAAACCAAACATAGAATCCTGGAATGGTTTGGGTGGGAAGGAGCTTCAAAAGCCATCTTTATCTACCTGCTGTCATGGGCCAGAACACCTTCCACTAGACCAGGCTGCTCCAAGCCTTGTCCAACCTGGCCTTGGACACTTCCAGAAATGGGGCAGCCACAGCTGCTCTGGGCAGCCTGTGCCAGGGTCTCACCTCTCTCACAGGGAAGTCACATGTTTACAAACATTTCATTCCTGATGTGTTTTAGAGTCTTTCCATTCATTCAGCTTTGTACTGAGAGTCATTCACTGATCTTTGTGATTATGCTACTCTGATAACCTGAGCTTTGGGTTGCCGGTGTTGTCAGGTGAACTTTACACCCTACAGGGGTTTGGGGAGTCCATCACAGTACATTGGGAGCAGCAGGATTGGACCAGCTGGCTTGTTGTCCAGCTCCAAAATGCCTTCCAAACATTTCATCCACATATAAAATAGGGCTACACGCACATCTAATGCTGTGGTGCCACTGGCACTCTCTTCATTCCTAACTGTGACTCCAGCCTTGAGCTGCTGGAGGCATTGGCAGACGAGCACTGGTGACTGCTTGCAGCAGCACAGGATGCTCCCATCCATTATTTGTGACCTCACAGTGGAGGGAGCAGAAGGGAACAGGTGGCCTCTGCCTCTGCTCCTGCCCTTTCCATCAGGGTGAGCCCCTTCTGGCAGTGCAGGTGGCTGTACTGGGCTGTGAGGTGCACATGGTGTTCCCTCCACTGGCTCTCCTGTGGGGCAGTCACCGCTGTAAAAAGGAGTGTGTTTGGATATAGTTATTCCTTATCCCATTGCAGAGAGATTGAGTCAGGCTGATCTGATCAGGTTTGTGACTGGGCAAGTGCTGGGAATGTTTGGTGATTCACAGAATCACAGAATACTTGGGGTTGGAAGGACCTCTGGGGATCATCCAGTCAAATCCCCTGCTAATGCAGGCTTACCTATAGTATGGGACACAGAAACACATCCAGGTGGGTTTGGAGAGGGAGACTCCCTGGGCAGCTGTTCCAGTGCTTTGCCGCCCTCCATGGAAAGAACTTCTTGTTCATTTTGAGGTGGTTGCTCTTTGTCCTGTCAGTGGGCACCACTGAACAGACTCTGGCACTATCCTCTGACAGCTGCCCTGGAGATACTGTTTGTTTTAATATACCAACTTGTTTACAGGGTGTTTTTTTTCTGAACACCTTTGATGTGTGACCTATTTGTGTCTTTCCTCCTATAGATCCCACGCCTCAGTTAGATGTGCATGAAGCAAACAAGCAGTTTATGGAACAGAGTGAAGAGCTCTATGATGCCTTGATGGACTGTCATTGGCAGCCTTTGGACACTGTCTCGTCAGAGATCCCAGCTGTGTTATAGCCTCGTTGCTGAGGCATTGTGTCTGTGAGACATCCTGCCAGTGCACTCCAGACTGTTCTGCTGCCCTTGGATTCTGCAGTAGTGAGGGGTGGCTCTTTCCCCACCCAGGTTTGGTACTCGGAGTACAGGAGGACTGTGGCCTTTCCTGTAGAGAACAAGTATTGTAGGAGCATCATGGTAACTTTCATTCATGATGAAAATTAGAACTGCGATGGTTTTATTCTTTTTGTCTTGAAATGAACTCTTAATACTTACTGGGAATTGTAATTTATAAACTTTCAACAAGATGGCACAGGGGAGAGACTCTACTCCATCGTACAATAAAAAAGTTGGTCTTTTAAGTAAAATGACCCTTTGCATTTTGGTTCCTGCCCATCTTTCTGTTTTGCTGCCCATTCAACTGTTTTAAGTTATTTGACTCAACGCTCATGAATGTGTTATTTCAAAAAAGATCATTGTTGGACACCACTAAAATATCTCAAAATCTTTCCAGTGACTGGGTAAGGTTGCTGTAATTTGAGCACGGGATGAAAGCTTATATTGTGGTTTACTTAGGCTGTGATCTTGAGTTTGCAAGTTCTAAAGCAATCAACCCAAAGAGCGCTTTGGAGAGCAAAGATAGAAAGGAGTGTTATAAAGCTACAGATTGATGCCTTTTACCTGGTGATCTCTTGTACGCTTGGCCTTCTTCTCCACCTGTGTATGAGGAAATAATTCCCCATCAACCAGCAGCTTAAAACACTTTTTCCAGCAACCGTACTTAAATATTATTTTGTGTATCATGCCTTTATTTGTTTTTATTATGGACACACCTTGATGGTCTCATTGAGATGTTGAGATTTTGTAGTGTCTTCCACTGTCCAGTCAGAGTGAAACTGAAGATCTTGCAGCAAAAACGGGTCAGAGCAATTACATTGATATATTGTTCAACAAATGGTTGTTAACCTGGAAAGCGGTTTGCTACTGGATGTCGTATAAGCTGGATGGACAAGCAATATATGTAAGCTGATATGTTGCATTAGAGGTGAAAGTGAAAACAATAGCACTTATATACATGTTATAAGCCCTTTTTCAGGCTTTTGTGCCTTAAACTCTTGGAGAAATAGGAACAGAGAAACTACCTGTAATAAATGTCTATCCGAGGAATAGTTTGGTGACTGAAATTGCTACTGCAGAGCATTTCATTGCTTCTCTGCCCATGTTGATGCAGAGATTTGCCACAAGATTTAAATACTTTGATAAAGCTACTTCTGCTACACTTTTGTTTGTGTCCATAATTATGACCTATTAGTCTGTGGTCTTTTTTTATCAACTGGAAGTGGGATGTGGGGGGAATGGTGATGTGACTGGAGTTAGGTTATTCCTAACGAATGGAGCTGGAGGACTGCTGGACTTCTGCATTCTCACCTGCTGTCAATTTTTCTTGTGCTGTGCCCCTAGCTGTGCTGCTGTCTCACCTTCAGCTGCTCTGAATGTTAGGAAAGGAATGTTCCCTGTGCATGCCAGGAGTTTCAGAAGCAGCAGAACTGGAAGAGAGCAGAGCTTTATATCCTCTGATGTGGCCGCTCAGCTCACAACACCCCCTATTCTTGGGAAGTTCAGCAGAGTGGCATTGCAGAACTGATGTAAAGAAGGTCATTTAAAACATTTTCTAAATCATTCTGTTACTGTTCTGCTCTGTGTGCCTGCCCTTCTCCTATTTTGGAGTTGCCTTTTCCTACCCCCACAAATTTGACAATGTGGCCATCCCGGTTTGCTCCAGGGGGTGAAGCCACATTTATTTATCAATATAAATTTATTCGGCTGTTCTCATCTGCCCAGCATTGCTGTCTGTGGAGTATTCCCTAATGCCTGGATAAACTATCTCCATACAAGTCTGTCCCTAGAGGAGAGAGGAGCAGGGTATCAGGGATCAAACAGCAATCCTGTGAGAAAATCCTTTTGCTCTCTGCTTTTGTTTTGTGATGGAAAGCACAATGGTAAATATTAATCCAATCCATCCTAACCCCTAATTCCTGAGAGAGCTGGGCACTTACAGACCCTTGTGAGGAATAATTTGGGAGTGCAAAGGCCAGCAGAGATGACCTGCTGACTCCTGTTTACTGGTGCTGCAGAGCTTAAAATAGCTCCAGCTTTCGTTTCAGGAGAGAGGTTGATGTTAGGCTCTGGGCCTCATTCCCTGGAGGTACGAGCCAGGCTTTTGGGGTTGTTTGGGAGATCTCAGCCAAGGTTCTGTGGAGCTGTTAAATCTCTGCATTGTTTCGGGTTTTTTTAATATCACTTACTCATCTTAATGTTCATTTTCAGCTCCCAGCCATTATTGCAGTGTCTAAAGAGAATTTTATGTGGAGCTACAAAACAGCCACCTCCTGGGATTTGTAAGGTTTGCCTTTTGGAACTCCAGTTAAATAGAATGTGGGATTTTGTTTCTCTTGGATGGCTACAGGAAAAGCCCAGATTAATTACCATTTAGTGTCACACAGGATAAAAGACAAGGACTCCATGTAGTAAGGTAAATTCTGCTCTTATCTCTATGTGCTAAAGGCAAGAAGTCTAAGGTAGATGATATCACAGCTCCCTGGGATTATGTAATTCCTGAAAATTGCATCCATATCAGCAACAGAGATCATGAAACACTCTGCCTTTCAGCAGGCAGGATTTATAGAAATTCCAAAAACAACTCAAACATTCTTACTGTCTTCTTTAATGAAGATGCAATCATCCAATTTACATTAAAGTGTAGGGACTCTGATTCCAGTTTGAGTTACACAGACTGGAAATGTTCAGCAGAGCTGAAGGGACATGGGTGTTTTCAGGCACAGAGTGGTGATTTGCAAAGGCTGAGCTCTGAGGCTTCAGATGAGGAGTCTGGAAGCATTTTTTTTAGCAAATGTATGGATAAGAGCTCTGCAAGGGGCTGACAGTGATTTTTTTTCCATGAAAGAAAATTGCTGTTACTTGGATCAGTTTCATGTCCCATACACTGAGACATACACAACGCCCTTAGGAATTTCACTGAATTCATTTTGAGGAACAGAGATAAATATTTGACTCTAATCTTCCTGTACTGGGCTTCTTATTACTGACTTGTTAATCTTCAGCTTTTGCTAGACAAGATCTGAGAGGAATTTTTACCTTCCAGCCTTGCTATCTCTCAGTGATCTTGTAAAGCATACTGGATACACCTGTTTCTGGATTTAACTTGGGATTTGCTTAACCATGAAACCAATTCAGTGGCAGGATGGGGTATGAATTTGAAATGCAGTAGCAGAAACTGAGAGAGCTGCTTCAGGAAATGTCACCAACAGAGCTCACTTTCCGTTTTTTCCTGGCTAGAGCATTTATTCAGAAAATATCTTTTTTTTCTTCCTTAGCAGTTATTCCAAGTCAAAATGTTTTTTCCAAGCACACCCAGTTTTTTAAGAAGGGGTTTGGGGTCCTGCTCGGTACACACAGTCATTTTTTCCAGGCACATGGTGGGATTCTTGGTGCAGGATGGTTGGACTTGATGATGGGTGTCCCATGATTCTATAATTGAAAGATCATTCTGCTTCTGCTGTAAAATTTCCAGTGAAAAAGCAATCGTGGATAACATAGTTGATAGAGATTGAGAACTGACCATGGCTAGGACTTGCCTTGTCCCCTTGATGTGTCTCAAGGAGCCACAGGCACAACAATCCGCCTGGATCACTAATGCAGGCCTGCTTTTCCTTACTGATAGTTTTCACATCCCTGTGCATTGTCTGCTCCCATCTGTCAGGTGCTGGGAACTGCAGCCTCTTCCAGCCTGTGCTGCCTGTGCTGTGCTGTGGAAGAGGCTGGTGAGGGATTTCTGGCAGGTTTCATCAAAGCTTCGCTGACTATGGACATGCAGTGGAATTTTCTCTGCCCCTCTTGGATCTCCATCTTGTCATGGCAGGCTGAGGTCTGCTGGGCATCCAGTGCTTTTCATTACTGCTCTTTGGAGATTCTCCCAGTTCAGCATTTGGAAGAGTCTCTTCCCATGAAATGTTTGCCAAGGTTTGAATTTTTGGGGAAGATTGATGTTTTTTTCTTACAGTAATCTCCCAGGTTCTGCCCTGCTCTAGGATTTGACATGATTTCTAGGCTCACGATTTAGGAGCGGCTGTGCCAAGAAGACTCCAGGGATTGCCTCGTGACTTGGTGGAGCAGCTGTGAGATCCACGGAGGAGGAGAACAAGAGCTGCTACTTGTATCTTGTCTCTAACAGCTTTGGCAAGGGCTGTCTTGGGGAGGGTTTGGCCACACAAAGTTTGGGGCTTGTTCCCAGACTTGGCCTTAAATGGCTGAGGATTTATTTTGTTGCTGATCTGCCATTTTTGGAGGGAATTACCAGCTCAAAAGGCCATTACTGAACACTGAAAATTTTTTTATCTGTTCATTTGGTCTGAGTAGATTAAAACATGAGCATCCTTTTTGCCCTTTCTCCAGGGCTTGGGCAGGAAGCAGTCAAGGCTTTTCTGGCTGATTTCCCATGAAGGATGTGCCTTCAGCATCAGCACCAACAGCTGTTCCAGCACTCCTTTCCAGGGAGGGCAGGTGCTCCCATTTAAAATCCTTTCCGCAGATTATGAATGAGCCAGAAGCTTTGCAGAGGTATTGCGTTGGCAAATAGACTTCTGTTTCCAAGAACCTTTCCTTCTATTCCCCGAGAGTGGAGTGTTCCCCCATTCCAAAAAGGAGGGAGGAGAAGAGGAAATGCAGGTGCTGCCTTCAGCTTTTCAAAGGGCAACCCGTGGTGTTGCATGCAGGACTGTACCTGTCCCACCCGGACTGGATAGTAATTTAGATGGGATGGGGGCGTGTAGCTGCTCCCAGTGCTAGTGGGGGTTGTGAATAATGGGATGATGAAATAATTTCGGTTGGGAAGGGACTGAAAGCTCATATCATTCCACCCGTTGTCATGGGCAGGAACACCTGGCACTAGAGCAGGTTGTTCGGGGGCCTTGTCTATCTTTTGGGATGGGGTAGAGTGCGAGGCTGGAAGGGGGGAAGGCAGGAACGATGGCGGGGGCTGTGGGCAGCGCGACCTACAACTCCCAGAAGCCTCTGCGGGAGAGCCTGGCACCAGCAGCCAATCGGAGCCTGCGCCGCCGCGCTATAAAATGTGACCGCGGAGCTGCTTCCTCCTCTTTCGGCTATGGCGGCGAGTCGGGTAAGCCATGCGGGAGCCATCGGGGACCATCCACTGCCATCCTTTGTCGCTGGGGCTCTCCTGCCGCTCGGCTTCACCACATCGGCGTCTCGTGGGCATCGCGCCCAGCGGCGGAGCTTCGGTGCGCTGCGAAGGGCAGCGCGGCCTTGCCCCCATCTTCCTCTCAGGCTGGGCCCAGCCCTAGGTGAGTGAGGGACCCTGGAAGCTGAACTGATCCCCTGTCTCGAGACAGGCGGCCGCGGGCGGAAGAGCCCCGCGGACCCGCCCGGCCCTATCGAAGCTGCGTCTGTCGGTGCTGTGGTAGATGCAGTCAAAAAGGAGCCAAGAGAAAGGTATTTTCCTCGACGGTCGCCGCTCAGTTGGATCCTTCATAACTGTCCGGCAACATTTCGGGAAAGAACACGGCCCACCATGGGCTAACGGGGTTACTGGTGCTAGAAGCAGGCTGCTGTCGTAAATCTCTTCCCCTGGGGTCCAGACTGATGCACCGGGGGGAGGAGGGGTGAATCCCTTCTTTCTGTACTGCTGTTTTAACTTCTCTTCTAATTTACTTAAAGCTCAAGACTCTATTTTTCCCCAGCAGCATGCTGGCACAGAAGGTGATTCTGGAGCATGGGATGGCAGGTGAGATGAGAAATCCAGGTTCTAGACTCCTTCATTGGGCTGAGAACTTGTTTGGTTTTGTGGCCCCCCTGGGTCGGAATAGGAACCAGCAGTGTTTCCTGCCCCTATGCTATCTGCCCATGCCAGCACGTCCTCTTCCAAGGCTGTGCATCCTTCATAGGGCTTGTCCTTGGAGCTGGGCTCTGCAAACTTCCTTAGCTCTTGCTCCATCCAGATAATGTACGAGTGAAATAGAGGCAATTCCTCTTTCTGGGGCTTGCTAGAGGCAGAACTGGGAATCAAGCCTGATCCAGAGCCAGTTGATTGCTGTGTCACAGATGTTACCAGTTAAACTCCACGTTTACATGCATGTTTATCCAAGAGCTGTGGCTCCACGCAGTAGCTACAGGTCTCCAACCACATGCCAGAGTAATGGGAGGGTCTTTGATTGCTGGGCCTCTTCTGCCCATGACTGTCACTCACCCCTCCAATACATTTTTGGGGATTGCGCTGTTCCTTGCTCATGGTTTCAGGGTGGAATGAGTGAAAGGTGTGTCCACAAGAGTCTGCAGCCCACTGCTGATACTAGGGGTATGTTGTGATGTCTTCCAGGGGTCCTGGGTGTTCCAGAGCTCACCCATCTGATGGATAAACCCAGTGAGAAGGTAGTACCCTTGCTGGATCTCCACAGCACATCCCTCCAAATCCCTTTCCCATCAGATCTGAATACCGATCTTGTGGTCGAAAAAGGAGGAAGAGTAAAATTCATGCTGGTCTTGGGCTCTCTGCAGGTGTGTCCTGTGCTGAGAGGGGCCACTAGGAAGACAGGCTGCACCGGCCTCACTGGTTTGGGAAGTCCAGTTGGGAAGGAAACTCCTGGTCAGGAGAAGGGATAAACACTGGGGACAGGGGGCAGAAGTGCCATGAAGGTTGGAGGGCTGGGATTTCTTGTGTGTATTTGAGCCACGGATTACAGTGACCTATTTGCTGGGTGTAAAGGTACTAAACTCTGGCTCTATTTTTTCAGCAGTTACTCTGTGAAAGAAGGTGAGAACTTGTGAGCCTTGTCCCAAGGGTTTCAGCTTACTTCCCATAGGACCTGAGTTGTGGGGAAGCTGCAGTATGGAGTCTGTGAGTGTCCTCTGGGGAACTCCTGGTGTTGGGGTGGGCAGTAAGTTTAAACTAGATACTGGGAGGAAATTCTTGGCTGTGAGGGTGAGGAGACCCTGCTTGCCCAGAGGAGCTGTGGTTGCCCCATCCCTGAAGTGTCCAGGGCCAGGCTGGATGGAGCTTAGGGCATCCTGGTCTGGTGGAGGGTGTCCTTTTAAGGTGTTTTCTAACCCAAACCATTCTGAGATTGCATGATCTGGAGAGGGGGCTGGAGGACGGGGGATAGTTCAAGCTGACTGTGCCTGTGCTGGAAGTGCCTAGTTTTTCACCTGGACTGTGCAGGTGGGAATTATCAACCTCATTTCAGAGGCTTTTAATTGGCCAGAGTTGTGGTCTGTGGTTGGTGTAGGGTTGTGGGTGAGATCAGTGGCAGTCCAGCCTGGTCCGTGATGATTCCCAAGTCTGGAGACTGCTGGATGAATCCTGCGGATATGGGGCTGAGGCCAGGCGTGAGCTACCGAAAACCGCAGGGCAGGCTGGGAACATCCAAGAGTTCTGGAATGTGGATGGAATCTGTGATGAGCCCGACTGCTCATCACTCAGCTGGATTCTTTATCTTTTTTTTCAGGTCTAAGCAGAGGGTGAGCCATCCCTGAAGGACTTGGTGCTGCAGTGCCAGACTGTTCTTTCTCAGCCTTCTGCAGAGCCACATCCTGGCTCCCTCCTGAGCTATGAGCTCCACCAAGTGGGATCAGCCTCTTCTAGGCTCCACTCACCTGCAATGGAGGGAGATTGAACTGGTTTGGCTCCAGCTTTTGCACAAGCTCCTGTTCAGATGCTTCACATGGAAGAACAGTCTGTTCCATGGAGTTTACTCAGGAGGGGGTCTGGATATCAAATACTTGGTTAGAGCAGGGAGCTAGTAATGCCAAGGTGGGTGGTGAGTTTGATCCCTGTATGCGCCGTTCACTTAAGAGCTGGGCTCAGTAATCCCTGTGGGTCCCTTTCAACTTGGAACATTCTGTGTGTGGTGATAAAGTTTGAATAAATGCAATTACTTCAAATCCTTGTGGTGTCTCCCGTGTTTGAGTTGCATTGGGGTAAGGTGAGGCTGGGCTGGCTCTGAACCAGGAAGCCTGAGCATCCCCTTCTGGTGGAGCTCACCAGTGCTCAGCAGCAAGTTCCTGTGCTTGCTGCAGTACCTGCTAGTGGTGTGTCCCCCACAGTACACGGCCGGGGTCCTTGGAATATAGAAACACACCTGGGACTTAATGGAGATGCTAGAGCAGCTCCTGTAATCTTGAGGTGTTCCAACACCCTCAGCTGGAGCCTTGGTGATTCTGGTTGCCTGTTTTCTCACAATGGAGAAAAATGGGTTGTGAAGAGCCACAGCCTCTTGAGTTGGAGCCACTTTCTTACTTCTGTCCCTGGATTTTTTGGCTGTTGCAAAGTCCCTGAACCTGAGGTAACCTGGCTGCCAAAAGTACTTTGTCCTGGAATACTGAGCTGGTGCCTCTAACCCCTCTGTTCTCCTACCTGCAGGTCTTGAGAGCCACTTCCCTGTGGAGTGTCTCCCAGGATCTTGGTTCTCAAGTGTGCTCTCACAGCCTGCTCTCCCTGTTGTCACCAAAGCCAGGCAGGGGAGACAGAGCTGGCCTGTGGCAACACTAAGCAACATCCTGGTGACAACAAAGGAAGTCTAAATGCCAGACTGTTGCGAGGAAGTGATTAGAGCTGAAATGGTGTTTCTGCTAAAGTTTGAAATGTTGGGCTATTGCTAAGGTTTGCGTTTTGAAGTTTGGTGGCTGGGAAGCAGCCAAATGGAAAAATACAGTTTTAAAAATAGGGGAACTAGAAAGGCATCAGTGGTTTTCCTAAGTGGTTAAAAGAGCTATGCAGGAGCTCCAAACATTTTTTTTGTATGTACACCTGGGAAGAAGACTTAACCCTCTTACTTTCCTCAGTGTTACCAGGCAGGCTGAGGACGGAGCTGCTCTCTCCCCGGGACAGTTTGTTTGTCTGCCCGGGTGACTGCGGGGCCAGAGCCGTCCCAGGTGGGATGGGGACAAGGGTGGAGGCCTGTCCTGTCTCTGTTAACACAGCAGGAACACGGTGGGTCAGGATCCGGCCAGCTCAGCCATGGAGATAGTGACAGATTCCCCCCAGGATCTCAACCCCGAGGGACATTTCCAGTTCCGCATCATCGTGCTGGGGGACGCTGCTGTGGGCAAGTCCTCGCTGCTGCGCTGCTTCGCTGACGGGCCGGGTGCGGGTCCTGGTGGGGCAGCCAACGGTGGGCCCCACCGTTGGTGTCGAGTTCTACAGCCGGACTATCCCGATGCCGCCCTCTGGCAAGGCGAAGCTGCAGCTCTGGGACACGGCTGGCCAGGAACGGTTCAGGTGAGGTGGGTATGTACCGGGGGCAGTTAGGGGGATAACGGTACCACAGAGTCCCTAAAAACTCCACAGGTCTCCTCTGGAGGCCCCCCAGTCTAGGGAGAGAGATGCTGAACAGAAAATGGGAGTGTAAATGACCAAGACAAGTCTCCCTTTCCCACTCCCAAGGTCCGATCTGCCACCCAAATATCTCCCAAGCCCCATCTTAGGGCTATCGGTGTGAGAGCTTCCCAGTATCCTTTGAAACCCTGCTGGGTGTGCCCAGGTCCATCACCAGGTCCTTCTACCGGAGTGCGGCGGGGGTGCTGCTGATGTTCGACCTCACCAACCGAGCGTCTTTCGAGCACATCCCCGAGTGGTATCGCCAGGCTGCGGGGTACCGGCCGCCTGCCTTTGTCCTGGTGGGACACAAGTGTGACCTGGTGGCCGAGCGAACCGTGTCAGCAGAGGAAGCCAGATACCTCGCCGCCACCCTGGGCGTGGCCTTTGTAGAGACCTCAGCCCACAGCAACCTCAACGTGGAGTTGGCTTTCCAAACACTGACTGGGGGGTATCCAGCAGGCACTGGGCCAGGGGATCCTTGCCCCACACCAGGGATGTGATGGCCAGCCCCTGGCAGGGAGGGTGGCCCGGGAGGGCTGCCTGTGCTGATGGGGTGGGGGTGGGGAATGTGGGACCCCAACTCCTGGGGATGCTTCTTCCTCCACCCAGCACCTGCAGCCTTTGGGTGATTAGGGGATTGGGTCTCCCACCTGGGCTTGGGTTTATTTCAAACCTTTATTTGGGGGCTCTGAAAAAATAATGCTCTGCTGTAGGAGTGTTTTTAATAAACCTAATTTTCCTCACTAAATGAAGGCTGTGTTAAGCACTACATCCCAGGCAGGGGCATAGCACTCAACCTATGGCATGGGGAATCCTCTGCTTTGGGGGACATCTCTGGTGAGGCAACAGCTCTCCTTGTCTGGGACACTTTTCAGGGTGTCTTGTTCATGGGGAAAAATGGGAGCAGGCACTCCTGAGTGCTTCCAGCTGGATGGAGCCTAAATAAAGGGAATAAAGGGGCCACGGAACACCGATGGTGCTGGGAACGCCTCCTGGGTGGAGGAGTTCCCTGCCTGCCTGAACACGCTCCTGGTGCGGGGGTGGCAGGTGCTGGCAGCCAGCAGAGGCACTGATGGAGCCACGGTGGCAGTACCAGTTCCGAGTGATCATGCTGGGGGACTCGACAGTGGGGAAATCCTCGCTGCTGCGGCGCTACACTGAGGGTATCTTCCTGGACACTGTCAACCAGACTGTGGGGGTGGACTTCTACGTCCAATTTGTGGAGCTGAAGCCAGGGCTGCGAGTGAAGCTGCAGTTTTGGGACACAGCTGGGCAGGAGAGGTTCAGGTGGGTCCATGGGGTGGGGAGGCGTGGTGGAGATGGGTGTCCCCCTCCAGATGTGGGGTGGAGTGTTGTGATTCCAAGCCCAGGGATATCCTTGATGTGGCTGTGTTCCCCCTTGTCCCTTTGGGTGAGGAACTATCATACTAAAAGCCAAAGCCAAGGGAAAGGAGCCATTGGGACTGCCTTGCTCCAGCTCTAAAGGGGGTACAGTATTCCCCCAAGAATTCCCCTGCCACACCAGTTCCAGAGGAGCTGGGGAACAGCTGGGAGTCCACTGGGTGCTGGGCAAAACATCTACCTCAGGTCAGCTGCGAGGAGCCTTCACACTTCACTGTGGGGCTGTCTCCACCATCCAGGCAGCTCCTGGGGACGAGAAAACTTGGGAGTTGTGGCTGCAGGGGGTGAGAGAGTGGCAGATCTGGGTTTGCAGGAATGGGAGAGTTCCAGGACTGTGACAGCAGGGATGGTGCAGCCCTAGGGACATGGCTGCAGACACAGGGGCACTTGGGGGCTGTGGCTGCAGGAGACAGATGAGCTTTCTTGGCTGAGCGGGGACAGAGCTGCCCCTGGAGCTCTTATTGACACAGCAAAACTCTGATTCTCGTTCCTCTCGCGGTGCTTTCAACACAAGGTGCCGCTTGCAGGAGCAGGTCCTAGCCAGGGCCACTCTGCAGGCAGGGAACATGCTGCCCGAGATGGCACAGGGAACCCTGGGGGCCACTCACACCCTGCTCTTGGCACCCCAGGTCCGTGACTCGCTCCTACTACCGCAACTCGGCCGGAGGGATGCTGATCTTCGACCTCACCAACCGCGCATCCTTTGAGAGCATCCGGTGCTGGCACCGGGAGGTGACTGACACCATCCAGCCCTTCCGCATGGTCTTCCTGCTGGTGGGGCACAAGAGTGACATGGCTGGGCAGCGCCAGGTGGGCCAGAGGGAGGCGGAGAAGCTGGCGGCCTCACTGGGTGTCCAGTACGTGGAGACCTCAGCAAAAGACGCTTCCAATGTGGTCCAGGCCTTCCAGATGCTGACGGTGGCCATTTACAAAGCACTGCAGACAGGGTGGTTGGTGGCCACAGAGGCATGGGACGGGGTGAAGAGCAGTGTCCCACTGCCGGTGCTGCCCAAGGCTCAGGCACTGGAGAAGGAGCAGCGGAAGAGATGCTCATGCTAGAGCTGTGGGCAAGGCAGGGATATGCTGGGCTCAGAAGGGGAAGTGGATATGGACCAGCCAGGCACATGGCTGCATTAAATACCTCTCGTCACCCTCTGCCTGCCTGTGTTTTCCTGGGAAAGAGGAAGTGCATTGGAAGGGTGAAGTCCCCAGGTGGGATTTCACAGGCCTGCAGGGGTCAATGTCACCCTTTCCCCTATTCTCTCTTGTACTGACTTAGATCCTAATCATAAAGCCCAAAATTCTTTAAGTCTTCCGAAATAGAATTAAAAGTGACAAATTTATCATGGAACTCAGATAATATATCTGCTGCTCCGAGTACGTGCCTAGTTGAGTCTAAAGCAAAAAAGGAACATACCATTCTGAGGAAATGCCCACTTTCCTTTTCAGATTAATCTTCATACAATATAATTGGCTCCTCATCCCACATGACATGAGGAGAGGAGTGAGCCTAGGATGGTCCTGGTATTACTTCACCTACCCTGGTTTCTCCTGCAGGTACCAGGAGCCTCCAGAGAGCTGGACAGGGAAGATGAGCCCAGCTCTGCCTAGGGCTGCAGGAGCCTCCCTGTCGTCTAGGGGTTTTCAGTGCTGTCAACTCCCTCATCCCCACAACAGCCCTCGGAGCTTCCCTGAGGTCTGAGCAGAGCAGCAGGAACAGGCAGGGGCACATAGCCTTTTCAATGTCCAGGCATAGACAGAATCAGGGGGACCTTGAATTCCTGCCCTGTCAGAACAGCTCCCTCCCAACAGTCCAAATATCCCAGCAATCGGGAAGAGACTCACTCTGGTATGGAGGTCAGGATGGAAGCGACCTGGCTACCCAGACCGGCAGGTGAGGGACTAGCCAAATCCTTGTGGTCTAGAAGTGTCTGGAAGGGAAACCTCTGGAAGAGCAGCTGAAGGCACTTGGTTTGTTCAGCCTGGAGGAGAGGGGAGACTCACCAGTGTCTGCAGCTCCTCCCTAGTGACACCTCTGATCTTTGCTCCCTGTGACCAGCTGGGAACAGCTGAAGTTGCATCAGGGGAGGCAGAAGCTACATATTAGGAAACAGTTTTTCCCCCCCAGGGGGCTCACTCAGGCAAGGAGCAGGCTCCCAAGGGAATAGGTATGGCTCCAAGGCTGCCACAGCTCCCGAGAACATTGGACAACGCTCTCAGGCATAGGGTGGGATTGCTGGGGTGTCCTGAGCAGGCCAGGAGCTGGACTCAATAATCCTCCGGGATCTTTTCCAGCTCAGGATATTCCACAATTCTGCTCCCTGTAAACTCTCAGATCTCTCACAGAACAGCACCACATACAGAGCTGAGGTGACAGGGACCCTGCCCCTGCCATTTCTATGCAACGCTGCCTGAAGAGCACAAGCCTGTGCCAGCAGCTTAGAATAATTTCTTTATTCATGTAAAACAAACGCAAGTATTTATATAAACACTGACATTACAAAGTACTGGAGCAGGTAGGAGCAGGAAGGAGGAAACAAAAACCTCTACAGATGCTTCTAATACTGTCCCACACACGATCAAATGCTCTGTCCCTTGGATAATCACTTGTACAATAAACCACTTTCAAGTCACAAATAAAAGTCTTTGTTTGAGATATGTTGCACTCTGAGGAGAAACGAGGAACAGGGCATAGAACGTTTTTGGCAGGTCTCCTCATCAAGTCAAGATATTGCTGCACCGTTAATAAAAAATAGATGCTTTTCTGTAAAGCATTAAAAAAATATCCCACAGGTGACATCGTGGAGGCTTCAGTGGAGACGCAGGTATCCCAAACTGCACTGGTGGTGTCTCCAGCTCTGCCCAGGGGCTATTTCTTGGTAGTTTTGCGGATCAGTGCCATTCTCTGCAACAAGAGGGAAAAACCATGGGAAGCTGAGCAGCTCAGAGCAGGTGACTGCACAACCACCCAGAGCAGGAACAAGGCATCCCAGGTGCTCCCAGGACACTGCCTGACTTGCTTCCACACAGGTCTTTCAGGTCTGTTTGAATCTTAATGGGGTCCCAGCCTGAAGCCAGAGGAGAAGGAAGTGTCTGTGCTGCTCCAGTTGGCACCCTGGGGCAGTGGAATGAAAGCCCATCTCAGGCTCCGCCCTCTGCCCAGTGGGAGCTGCAGCATCACCCATAAGCCCTGGAACGGCAGGACAGCTCCTTCTAGGCTCTGACCATGACTTAAAAAGCAAAGGCCCAATGCATTTTTAAAGCAAAATTAAGGGTGTTTTCAGTCCCTTTCTACAGAGATGGCGTTGCCAGGGGCAGTTGAAAAGTGCCTATGTGCAGCTTCCAGCTGGTTTTAACCCTCCCAAGCCTCCCAGCTCCAAGAGCTGCTGCTTCTCTTTGGGTAAAGCCAACCTAGCTGAGGAGACACAGCAACCTCAATCCTCTGTACAAACAGGTCAGGAGGCTCTGGAAATCATTTCCAGTCTGAACCACTTGGAAAAGGCCGCAAATTCACAGTGCCAGGAGGCCATGACCACCATCCCTGTATCAGCCTTCCATGGGATTCCTGGTGTTGTGTGGGCTCCTTACCTGTTTGTGAGCTTCTGTAGTGCAGGCTTTTTTGTAGGGCCTGATTTCTTCAGAACCAAAGCCCGGGATCCACATATTCCACTGGCGCTCTGGAATTCACAGAATGGTTTCAGTTGGAAGAGACATTAAAGCTCATCCAGTTCCAACCCCTTGTGATGGGCAGGGATGTATTATCTACTCACAAGCTTCCACCACAGCACCACAGAAGTGCCCTAACTCCAGGAGGAGTTGAGAGCTGGGGGCAGAGGGGAAAAAAACAGATAAAAGTCACTCACCGAGGTGCAACTGGACATCTTTCACTTCCAGGGTGTTGGACTTGCGGTGCCGCGCAAGCTGGCAGGCAGCTGTCACCACACTCTCAATGAAGTCATCAGCGATCTGTAGCAGCATCTGGGGTGGAACAAGGGCAACAACCAGTCTGGTCAGCACTGAGCAGTTGAAATTATGTGGGAAGGTGAAAACAAGCCCTCAGAAGCTGGTATTTAGAATTACAGAACGTCCTGAATTGCGAGGGACCCACAAGGATCATCCAGGCCAACGCCTGGCCCTGCACAGGACACCCCAGCAATCCCCATCCTGTTCCTGAGAGCGTTGTCCAGGCTTCTTGAGCATGGCTGCCTGGGGAGCTGGTATTGCCTGGGGAGTCTGTTCAGTGCCCAATCACTCTCTGGGAGAAGAACCTTTCCTTGATCTCCAGATATTCCCTGGGTCCTGTCCCTGGTCACAGAGAACAGAGGTTGGAGCTGCCTCTCGAGAAGAGCTGCAGCCCCCATTGAGCTCTGCCCTCAACGTCCTCTGCTCCAGCTGGACACACCAAGTGCCCTCAGCCGCTCCTCCTGTGGTCCCTCCTGATTCTTCCCCATTTTCAGAGTCTCTTTTGGGTGCTCTCAAATAGATTTAGATCTTTCTTTTGTTGTGGTGTCCAAAATTCGACTCAAAGGAGTGGATTTCATAGGTGTTTACTGCAATTGCTGTTTTAAAAGCCTTTTTGGGACTGGGATGCAGAAAAACAGGGATGGCTGAAGGATGCATGAGAAAACAAGTGTTAAATGAACCAATGCTCCCTCCTCGGACAAAGGGCCACTGATATGTGACAAATCCCAAATTAACTCTTTCTGCAGTCCCTTCCACAGGTTGGAACCTACTTCTTCCACATCTTCATCCAGCTGCTCGTTCGGATCCACCTCACGTACCAGGTCCTGCAATTTCTTCTTGGTTAAAACCTGAGTGTGTGGGAGGAGAGGAAGGATTTACTGCCCTGCTCCAGCAATGAAGCTGCCCATGGAGCATCACACAACCACAACCTCCTCCCCTGTGCCCCCAGCGAGGAGTCACACTGTTGACACAGTCTATCAGCTCAGGAATGGCAGAGATAAGAAATATCAAATGTTAAGGAGTCATTTTCAAGCACCAGTGGTTGCTCTGGACAGCAACTGGAGTGCAGCAGCCCGGATAAATGTTTCCAGCACTAAAATGCAGAGGAGTGGAAAGGCAAAACTACAAGTGCTGCAGACACCAAGTGCAATCAGCGTATCAGTGACTAAAGTTGTGCTCGGGGCATGAGGGAAGCATTTCCATGGCTCTAGCACTTATTAGCTTTAGTCCTTCACATGGAAAACAGAATTGTGGGAGTGCTGGGTTATTCTGGGGCAGTCAGACGTGGCAGGAGCAGAAACCACACTGGGCTGAACAACAGGATGCCGAGTCTTACAAGATACAGATATAAGTTGTCAGCCTGGTCAGGTCATCCAGTCACAGATGGGAAATTCCTTCACTTCTGTGGCTGTTTTGTGCTGGGGTCTAGTGCACTTCCTAAGCATAAAATGCAGCAAAGCCATGAGGGAACAATGCTGGGGCATTCCCTGGGCAGCTGTTTGTTTTATGCACATCAAAGGCTCCATGCTCCATGGGTTGGACGAGACCTTAAAGCTCATCCCATTCCACCCTCTGCCATAGGCAGGAACACCTTCCTCTATCCCAGGCTGCTCCAAGCCCTGTCCATCCTGGCCTTGGACACTCTCAGGGATGGAGCATCCACAGCAACCCTCTCTGGGCAACCTTCACCTCACCACCCATTTCTCCCCATATTTCTCCCATCTAAACCCCATTGAAAAATAACTTTCCCTGTCACACCCCCAAAATACACTTTCCTAAGACTGGAAAAACCTCTATACCTACAGCATCCAAATCCCATCCAGCCGGGAAGCACCTGGGATAAAGGAACTCTGTGAGCAAGTTTTGCTCACTCAGTAACTGATACTTTAATAAATATTATTTTTTCTGCTGGTGATTTGAAGAAGGCAAATGACATCACAGGCAAGTCTGTGATGCTTGTGATGCCCAAGCATCATCCCTGTTGTCCCAAAGTCGGGGATGGAATCACCTGGTTGCTTTCAGGACTGAGCCGCCCTCCTCCACTGGGTGTTCCTGGCATCTTTGCCACAGTGGTGCTGTTGGCCATGGAGCTCTGAGGGGGGGTGCTGGCCGGTTCTGGCTTGATTGAGGAGAAGTTGGAGAGGTTGATCAAGGTAGAAGGGCCAAACTGGTTCATAATCTGTTGAGCTTTAGCTTTTAGATCATAAAGCTTGTCTAGGTCCTGCTTCTTCTTGGGGTTGTGGGGATCCAAACCAATCAACTGAAAAGGGAGAGGAAAGCCATGGTTAGCAAATAGAAGGAATTCAGAAAGGTGAACAGGTCTTTGTCCAGAGAAAACTGCAGTGTTCTGACAGGGCCTGCAGTTTATAGATCAGGAATTTCTGCTCACAGCACGAAGGGAGAAGTGATGCTTAATAGCAGAGAAAACCTTCCCTGGTATATGGAAAATTAAGCTTTCCAGCAGCACTGACCCACTCACCCATTCATCCCTTGAGCTGAACCCTCCCACATCCACCCCCACACAGCCTTCCTGAGCCCATTTCCCACAAAGAATAGACCACTCAGAGAAAATTTAACTGCAAGATATGGCTCATTCCTGCTGCAGCAGCACAGAATCCTTCATTCCCACAATACAGAGCCCTGGAGAGAAGGCAGGAGCCAGCATCCCTGGGGTCTCCACAAGGTGGGGGTCTTATTTTTGGCAGCATCATGCTCACAGCCTGGCCTGCAGTGACCCCTCCATGTGGGACTGACAACATCAGTTCATTTTGGGTTCTAAGAGCATAATCTGCTCCCCCTCAGATGGGGAGGAACACGTGTGTGCCCACACCTGCCCCTTGCTCCTCCCACACTAGGCAACTGACAGCCACAGGAAATGGAGTGAGATTTATGGAGCTCCCAATGGTGAACCACAAGTGGATTGTGTGGTTACAGAGATCCTCCAGGTACTGAAGTTACTCAGGCTGTTGGTCATGGGATGAACATTAGCTGGCACCTCCTCTGTTTCTGCTCTAAGCCCCAGGCTCAATGAAGTTTTGCTCTGTCTTCATTGCTCCATGACAGGAAATTCATCCAAACCCTGCACCTTCCACTACCACAACCAGTGTGGGCAGCAATGATGGATCTGTCACAGGCAAAGAGAGTTTAAGGAATGATTTAATAGCAAAGCCTCTCATGGTGAGGCCAGAGATAGCTGAGAAGCTGAGGCTGAACCGATGAGAAGAGTTTGTTTAACCAGTTTTACAGGACATTCCTAGAGAGTGTCTGCTCCCTGATCTACAAATAGACATTTCCCTTCATCAAAGCAAGCCTGGTTAGTTTGGATTAATTAATATGAAAACCCACACGAGAAAGCACATGGGAGAATTTAGAAGCTTTAGTGCTTCACTCCAATGCACACCCATACACCTGCAGACATGGAGCTCTTTGAGGGGAATTTATGTCCCTGACACCCTTCCACAGTGCCCTCAGCAAGTTTCCAGCTCTATTTTAATTTAATTAACAATGGAAAACCATCACTCTCACACCCTAAACCCCTCAGTTGGCACTTCTGGTTGAGGAGTCCAGCACAAGATCGAGAGGGACCTTCAGCCTTGATTTGAGCTGGGGTTGATCTCAGCTGTGATGCCTCACTTCACAGATCCACAAAGCAGGAATTCCTACCCACTATGCAGAAAAGGAAGCACCGAAATCCTCAGACATAAATCTCCAAAATTCTTGGGCAGAAGCACTTTAGCAGCATAAAGTCATTTTGTTGGTTTATTCCCAGATCTTACTGCACCCTTCACATGCCACCAAGATCGCTGAACATGAAAGTCATGCGAAGAGCAGATTCACAGGGTAAATCCCACATGCCAGCCCCGTTTACTTACAGCTATCTCAGTGTCTAGATCTTTAATTACATCAGCATCTGCTGTGAGCTCAGTGAGTGGAGAAGCCATAGCCCACACCCTTTCCAGAACATCACCAGTCAGTGTTATCTACTCTGGCACCATCCTCTCCCACATAATTCTGATTCCTACAGAAACACCAGATATTTTTTGTATCACCCATTCTATGTAAGATAGTTAGAGGAAGCAGTTTCACAAGTTATCCTCCCTACAGTGCCACGAATTTCTTTGACAGAAAAGATCACACAGTGACTGCTGCAGAGACAACCATCCTGCAGGATTCTGAAGAAATATATGGCCAAACTCCCTTTTTCTGCCAGGAAACAGAGCATCCTGGTACCTGCTGATGCGCAGGTAAGCCCAGACCCTCACAGCAGCAGCCCCCTCCAGGGTAGGAGGAGGTCGGCGTGCTGTGATCAGCACCATAATTTGTTCAGTTCTGGGACAAGCATTAAGAGCCACAACTAAAATCTATGTTAAGGACAAACAGCACATTTCCTGGAGTGCTCAAGGGGCTCCCACTTCCATTAACCATAGTGATTTTCACCAAATGTCTAAATACAATCATAGAATCTCAGAATGGTTTGGGTGGGAAGAAACCTTAAGCTCATCTCATTCCATCCGCTGCCATGGGCGGGGACACTTTCCACTGTCCCAGGGTGCTCCAAGCCCCGCCAACCCTGGAAGTGCCCAAGGCACTTCCAGGGATGGGGGAGCTACAGTTCTGGGCAACCTGTGCCAGGGTCCCACCACCCTCACAGAGAGGAATTACTTCCCAGTATCTCACCGATCCCTGCCCTCTGTCAGTGGCAAGCCATTCTCCTTGTCCTGTCCCTCCAGGTCCAAAGTCCCTCTTCAGCCCCTCGAAGCCCCTTTTAGGCACTGGAAGGGGCTCTAAGACTCGCCCTGGAGTCTTCTGTTCCCCAGGCTGAACATCTCTAGCTTAAAGTGCTCACCAGCCGCACGGAGACCGCCGGGATAGGAACGAATCTCCCTCCCAGTGCAGAATGTCCCCGCCGGGAGTCGCGGGGTAGAGCGAAGGTCACCGACCGCCACCGGAACCCACACAGCGCCCACTCTTGTGCTCCCTCCCGGATTTACAACAGCCAGTGTGGAATCCCCAGGTAGTCCGCGCAGCCCCCTCGAGCCCCCCGTACCTCCCCATGGCCCGCGGGCACTCTCAATCCCCGCCGCCACCGCCGCGCTCTCTCCGCCGACACCCGGCAGCGCTTCCGCTTCCGGCCGTCGTCGCCGCCAATGGGGAGCGAGTCCCCTGCGCGCGCGTGCGCATCATCGCGCTCCCGCCAAAGACGCTCCTCCTCCCTGCGCTGCCTCAGGGGAGAGGCGTACCCAGCATGCCCCATGCTATTTGCATAATCCTGACCGGCTAAAAAGCGAGGAAAACGGCAATTTTTGAGGGGAAACCAGCCGAAGTGGTGATGTGGGAGGATGACAGGTTAGACACACTAAAAAGCATATTTGGTTTATTCAGCGTCCATCGCCCTGACCTAGGTAGTGCCCGACGCTTCCCGATTGGGGGCGGGAAAGAACGCTCGCTTTAAAAAGGGCTTCTGCCGTGTGTGGCACGGGGGGGCCGCGCGCCACCCCCGCGGAATCGACATCAAGAGATTTCGGAAGCACAATTTTTGTGAGGGAGGGCTGCCGGTAACCGCCTGTTCTGGCGCCCCAGCGTGTGTCAACGGCAGAACAAGGGGCCGGGAGGGCTGGTGTCGTTTCCTTTTGTGAAGGCTTTGATGCTCCACTGCTTGGTCTTGCGAGTGGGTGGAGGCTACGGCACCACGAACGGCGGAACGCCTTAGGCCAGGCAGATGTTAGCCCCCCGGGCCAGCTGACGGTGCGGGGCACTGCGTTCCACAACTGTCTCTCTCGCTATAATACATATATTTACATAGGATTACTTTAGAGCCCCCCCCAATCACAGGAAAGGTCCTCCTTTACACGCCTTCCCACCTCCACCCCCCCCCCAATATCGTGCTGCTGTGCTCCCCTCCTCACAAAGCTTCATGGTACACATGTGCAAGAGGACAGTGCCTAGGCCACCTGTGGGAGCTCTCAGAATAGGGGCTGCCAGTCTGCTCCACCCCAGCTGGCAGCTCCCCGGCCCGCAGGGCAGGGGTCTGGTACTGCACCGGGGAGCACCCAGCAGGCCCTGCAATGCTGCAAGTGCTGCAGCGCATCCCGGCAGGCTCCGGCTCATTGAACGGCATGGCGTACTCAGGCTCTGGCGGCAGTGGCTCTGCATACTCATGGTGCTTTCCTGGGACGTCATAGTGGCTCAGGACCAGTGGCAGAGTGTAGCCCTCTTCCAGGAGTGGCTTGAAGGTGGATGAACCTGTCTGGCTGCAGGGGCTCACCTGCACCAGGTCTGGCTCAGCATACTCTGAAACAGGGAGGCTGCTGTGTCAGGAGGGTCATGGTACTGTGGCAGAGGTGGGTGGGGTGCGTTGAAAAACTGAGCATATTTGGACTTTCAGGGATAGGAAAACTGCCAAAACCCACCCAGGGTAGAGCACCCACCCATGGACACCCCACATTCCTCTGCCACACCACAGAAAGGGGCTCCTGCTGTCCCCAGCCACCCTCCAGTGCCAACAGCTGTAATTGAGGTGGATGACTACTACTACTAAATAATGTATGGTGTTACTACAATAAACTATAATTAATTATAATAATTAAATGGGCATTCCTAATTTATCAGGGCCTCCCTGTTGCACAGGACCACAATGGAGGAGGGGTCAGACCGGATGGGGAGGGAGGGGCAATCGGGAAGACCCAGCTCCAGCTCTGGGCTGAGAGACCAGTTCATGCCCTGATGTCCCTGTTACCTGGCGAATGAGTCCGGCTGAGGTCCCCTGGCATGGGGGCCATGGGGAAGGAAGCCAGGCTGGAGGCTGGCAGGCTCTGCAGGGAGCAGACCTGGCTCGACTCCAGCTTGGGGTACCCTGGGAAAGGAGATGAAATGCTCAGTTGTCACAGGTTGTCACCTGGACGTGCAGGTGGCCCTGGGGGGGTGGGACAAGTCCGAGCTCGGCAGCAGCACTAGTTAAATCAGCTGCACCCCATGGCACACAGACCCCTGATTTTGGGGAGGAGTTGTGAACCCTTTTACCTTTTGTGATCCCACAGTTCGGCTCTGCTGCTGACTTCCTGTCAAGGAGAGAGGCAAGATGGAGAAAAAGGTCCCAGCTACCCTGTGCCCACCACCACTCATATCCTCACACCCACTGCATGAGGGGCTGCACCCCTTGGGACCCGGTGAGCAGCTGGATGAAGCTGACGCAATCTGGGGAGGTGATGCTGAGTTCCCCGGGGCGAAGCAGGGGACAAGACAGGACCAACCTCTTCCTGTGGCAGAGGAAAGCCAGGAGCAGGAGGCAGGAGCAGAAGAGCACAAAGCCACCAATGAGCAGCATCACCAGCAGTGTGGAGCCTGGGGAGGGAGGGCAGTGTCAGCCCCCTAGGCCCCCATCCCACCCTTTTGCACCCATGAGTGCCAGAAGCCCACCTGCGGCCACTATAGGAGGGCAAATCAATGTTTTTCCACAGGGGGATGAAGCCCCAGTGGTACCTGGAACATGAAAAGACAATGCTGCACCCCACGGACAGCCCCCTATGGCACCCACCTGCCTTCTCTGGGTCCAGGGCGATGCCAGGTATAGGGGTGCGGCTGGCTGGGCGGCTGGTGGGTTCAAGGACCTCCTTGGGGACACTGGGCACTACGGGGCAGAGCAGGGACCATGACTGTGAGACCACTGCTGGGTGCACAGCGAGGCGAAGACACTACGAGGACGTTTCAGACATGGGGTGTGAACTCCTGTGGAGGGTCTCACCGTAGGGACGGGGTACACGGACCCGTGCCACCTGGCAGCCCACCAGGGCCACCTTCAGGGCCACGCGCTGGTGCCAGCTCTGTGGTGTGACACGGATGTAGCGGGCGATGATGGGGGGGATAAAGGCGTTGGAGACCTCCCCCTGACTGTCAGCATTTCCTTCAAACACCTACCAGAGAGGGTGATGAGGTGCCAATGGCCAAATATCCATGAGCAGGGTGTCTCAGCCCCATGTTCTCCCAATGCCCACCTTCTCCTCCTGGCCACTGCTGCCTCTGTAGGGTCTCCAATTCTTCCCATCGCGGCTAGAGGAGACATGGTAGGATGTCACGTAGTAGTCATGCTGCTCGGAGGAGCCCTTTGTGATGATGCCTGTGAATGCAGGAGGGGGGTCCCTGCTGTCATTCAGGAGCTGCAGGGCTGGGGAAGGGCTACCCTCTACCCCGCTATCCTCTACTCCCATCTGGAATAACCCCCATCTCTGGGATACTCAAGACCCAGCTGGGAAAGGACTAGGAGGGCAGGACACGTCACCTGGCAGAGGGGGATCCTTCTGACCCTGGGAGGGGGTTTGGGTGGCAGATTCCAGTGTGGGATGCTCTGGTCCCACATAATATCGGGGTCCTCTGATAACCTCCAGCCCCGGCTGACTGCCCTGCATTCTTCCCTCCTCCAGCCTCTGGCTGGACAATGTCCCCATTTTCCTCGCTGCGGTCACCAGCCGCTGGCACACAAAGGCCCTGCTTTTGGCAGGCTCAGGCTGGACAAAAGACACTCACTGGCACCAGATGCAAGAGCATAATATTAACTTGTCCATCCCAGAAATGGCTGCAGATGAGGGGGGCAAAGGCACAAAAAGAGGACAGGAGCAGCCAGGGGGGCTGGTGCGCTTTGCATCCCAGTTTGCCCCAGTAAAATCATGGCACAATAAACTCCAGTGCATCCTGAAACTTATGGGGGTGCAACTGCCCTGGGCAGTCTTGTGGGGATCAGTGAAGCTGGCACAGCAGGAGGACAGTGGTCAGGGTGCCATGGGCAGCTGTTGTTCCCCTCTGATGGCCAACTCTCACCTGTGACATTCCTTCGGGTGCCCAAGTCCAGCTCCAGCCAGGCAGTCTGGGCGTCGGGTTCGGCCGCCCAAGAGTGGCCACTGGTGCTGAGTGCTGCCCGTTCGGCCACCCAGGCTCGGTCCTGGCCCAGCACGCCCACCTCGTGCCACCAGGACGAGGCATTGAAGGTCACCACCTCTAGCACATCATCACAGGCTGGGGACAGGAGACAGCACACTGGGAACCCGGAAACCCCAACCAGGCATATGGGGGTGGCACCAGGTCTGACAGCTAAAATCAGGCCTTAATTTCAGGGGAAATAGGAAAAAAATACCTTTGTGGAACATGAGCCGCTTCTCGGAGAGAGATCCCCTGTGCAGAAAAAAGCAGGGGGAGCATCAGATGGGGTGAAAAAACCCTGGGGTCTCTGAAACTGAGGAGTGGCAGCTTCCTAGTGTCAGTGCGGGTGGGTCCCACAGCTCCATGTGAGGTGCAGCCCCAGCCATCCTCACCCACCTTTTGGAGCGGAGCCCATTGGCAAAGGCCGACTCATAGAGCGTGATCCCCTTCTCCCGGGACAGGGTGACCTGCCCGCCCAGCTCATCCGCAATCACCCCAGCGTGCACGGCTGCCTTGCATAGCACTGATGTCTGCAGGGAGTGGGGAGTAAGGGCAGGCCCCCACTGCAGGGCCGAGCACCCTG